ATTTGCGTGAAGTATTGTCAGCAGACCATGCGGACAAGGGAATGAAGGAAGGGAAATGGGGAGTGGAGGCAGGCTGCTTCCTCAGTAAGTTTACCCGACAATGAGAAAGACGACAGGAGGAAATAAATGTTCTGTGGCATGAAATACGGAGCCAGTTGGAGGCGAGCAAAAGGATGACCCAGCAGTGCTGAGAGCTCTGCTGAATTGGGAGCAGCGTGTGTTTGGTGACACTGGTCCACATGGCAGTGTGACTTCCATCCCACGGTGTTCAGCTTCCTGGATGTCAAGTGAGGAGGAGGACAGTTGGGAAGACCCCTCGCTGTCCAACCTGCACCCTCCTTGCTGTGACGGAAGCCCACTCTCTGCTTCAGGCCCCTTTAGGGCTGGTGGGCAGCAGCTGGAAGCTGGTCATCTTGGGAGAGACTCAGAGCACATTTCCTGGAGCCTTGTCTATTCAAGTTTCGTGGATTTAATTTTTGACTTCTTGGTCATTTTTGTGACTCTTTAGATCCCCTCTCTAGTCTCTCCAAATTCATGTATAGTTGTTGGAGCCCAGACTGTTCCATTAGGGGCTTGAGCCCATGATTCCTATGCGTTGCATTCCTAGGTATGTGTCTGGAATTGTTTTTCTCTTTTGTGTGTTTTTCTCTTTTCTCTTACAGTGCTTCAGTATTCCTCCCCAGGTTCTATCTTCTTGGCATGCCAGAAATGACAGAAAGTAAACTTTAGCTCTCCTTGCCCGTAGCCATTTGAACATTTGGTTCTGTTTTCCCTCCTAGCTTTATGACCAATCCAAACTCTTACTAAGACCCTTCCAGTGGTAACGCTTAGCTAAACCCTAGTGGATCACAGTGATGAATAAGACGTGCTTCTTAATGTAAGTGGAGAAAGTAAGCTAAGTACAAAAATGTTCACATGCCAAAAAGGGAGGGCTTTCATTTTAAACTTAGTCCCTTGTTGTATACCCCTCTGCTGACATCATTTTGAATTTTGAATCTATTTCTATTGCACAGCCCTGTTCTTTTCCCAGTTAACAATTTGCCATCATGCAGTCACAGATAATTTTTTCAAGACACCACTCTGAACGGCAGCCCAGACCAGTGATTCTTAAGCTGCCGTGAACAGAAAGAATTATCAGAAGAGCTTTTCCAAGTACACCCACCATGCCTCCCCCAAGATTCTGACCTGCTGCCCTCTCATCCCTTGCTATTTGAGATAATTATCTCCAGCGGTACTGTAACTGATGACAGTGTGTCCTCTCCCTCAAGTGAATAGGGGAAAAGAAAAAAGGCTGGCAATCCAGTTGTAGCTAGCCGAGCACACACTGAAGAAATGATGGATCTGAATCTCTCTTTTCCTGCCACTGTGTTGTCATGACAATATTAGGGGCTGTCACGGTGCTGCTCACCCACCCCACTGTCACAGTGTTTCCAGCACTCTTTGCCTGCTCTGCAGCCTAAAGTCAGAGCCCAGAATTCTCACATACAAAGAAACAGCACAGTGAATAAAAAGAGGGCCACTGAATTGATGAAGACCCAGGTGAACAAAATCCATGTCATATTTCAACCATTAATAATGATAACATGTAAACTACTTTTGAGAGCCTAAGGCTGCTGATCAGAATGTGGCCCAAAAAAGTCAAAACATTTAAATGTGCAAATGTGATTTTTTAGATTCCCAGAGAAAACTGCCCCACTTGACCATTGGATGTTGATTTTGAATTGAAACGTTCATTTTCTATTCCCTGGTGTGTCCAAGGTATTTAGGAAGGATCGTGAGTGTTTTGAAAATTGGGTTTACTGGGTTTATACAGCCCATTGGTGTCTGAGGTCTTTCCGCAGTTACACCTTAGGTATTAAGGTATTTCAGGGCATAAAAATAGCATTGAAGCATCCTTCAACCTCAACTTCAAAGCAGTGTTTCCTCAGTGTGCAGAAAAACATTATAAAGTACAGAGATACGTCATTAACAGATGGTAATGGTGTAAGTTTGTGTCACTTAGAGAACTATTATTAGAA